TCATAAATCATATGCAGTCATTAAAACAAAATACATTTTATACACTTGCTTTTGAATATTTTCAAAACTTTAGATTATATGAGTTTTGGAAACTACGCAGAAATCATTTACAGTTAACTGTTAAATCTTCTGTTACATCTTTTTTGGAAACTTAAAAGGAACCTATTATTCTTTTCTTTATATTCTGTCTAATGAAAACCATTACACTGGTGGATGTTCATTTTAAATATGTTTCAAACGTTTCAAATAATGAGGTCGGTGTATGTACGAAGAACCGCTGTAAGCCAAAAGTTTCATTTTCAAACCGTTTTTCTGCTCTTGATTCTATATCAAGCCTCTTCAAATGGCGGCCCGCGGGCCACATGCGGCCCAGAAGCAACCTCCGAGTGGCCCTGCCCGTGGTTCTAGCAGAAACGCAGAGAAAACGAAAAAAACAAACAAAAAGAAAATTCCTACAGCATAGTGTGGACTATGAATGCAACACTCCTAGTAGCATAGCAATATTCCACCCACAATGCACCGTGTTGTAAACATATCGAGCTATCGCTTCACCGTTGCCTTCGGATTGCACTGACATCTTATGAGCTAAAAGTTGCTGCAATTGTTCAGAAAAGAAAATGTCACTTCTCCCATTAATAATGTCAGGGTAACTATAGCCCACATATCAACATAATGTGGAATGTCTAACAAAGCCATGCCTAATTCCAGGGGTTGATATAAAACAAAACTGTATTACCTCAGTGTGCAGCAGTAAATGTTGTATTCTGTGTTACTGCTATTTGTGCACTGATAGCTTTGATAGGATTGACTGTTCTATTTTAATTGTGTTAAATGCACTTTAAGATGTGTCTAGGTCACATATATATTGAAAGGGAACTTTCAAAATGTTTTTTTTATTTTATTGGAGTTTGTGGTGTGCATTTGTGAGATGTCACCAGATTTAAAAGGGACAAAATGAATAAACATTACTTGTTTTTCAATACGTTTCTGTTGGTTTGAAATTTATCACGATATGCTGCTTAATGGCTGCTAAAAAATATCTGGCCCAGATAAATTCCTTGTTTTGAAAATCTGGCCCAACCAACTTTTTAGTTGAATAGCCGTGTTCTATATGATATCCTGGAGTCTCTCATATGATCGTCACAGGTACACAGCTCTGGCTATGAGCACAGCAGCCCCGCCCACCAACTGTTCAAACATTCTGTTTTTCACAATTTTTTCATATCACATCTGCCTAAATCAAGACATTAGAAGAAAAACAATAAATGGAACACGAACTGTTTATTAATCAGAGAGAAAATCTTAGTTGTAAATTTAACTCATTTTTAAAAACACAAGACACTTTGGATTTTGTCTCAAATTTCCCCGAGTAGAGAAAGAAAAACAATACAGATCGCTATGTGACAACCACTAATTGTCCCTACTTCCATAGAACCCCTTCCTGTGATACACACACTTACAGAGGCGAAAAAACAACACACACACTGCTGTAGACCACGCCCTCTGAGCTCTATTCTCTTGGTAATGAAAATGGGCTCCGTGGGGAAACAAACGGCCTCCTTCCTGAATTCCAGCTCGCTTTCTCATATAGGAAATAAGAGAGAGAGAGAGTATGTGCAGTGAGGGTGCTGTGATATAAACAGCTGGGTATATAAGAAACAAGGAGGAGCCCGTCAGAGCCATTGTGTGAGGCCTCAGGGTTCACATCGTTAGCTGTTAAGGTGACACAGAGCTACAGATCTGAAGCTTCTGTGTTTCCACCACATTAAAGGAGACCCCCGGCTGTGAGGCGTATATAGGATTTGTAAAGAGCGACAAAGACTGAATCTGAGACACAGGAAGTATGTAAACAGAATATGTGCATATGTCCATTTATCCCGTAAACTCTCTAGAACAAAGACAAATGCATTTCTATGTGTGCGTTTCATTACATTGAGAGCAAACAAAGTTCTGTTTCTTGCATGTACCTAAAACTGTGGAGCTAGCTGCACAAACAACCGCAGTTTCCTCTCCAATGCAATTAGCTGTGAATGGGTTTAGGCATGACCTTTATTTTTAATTTGCATGACAATGATTGTGCATGTTCTACCCTTTGTTATTTAAAAAAGACAACAGCGAAGAAGAAGTCGAAATTTTGTGATTGTCTCGCACCCACTGAGTTCTCCTTATTAGCATTGGAACAGTGATTAAGCACGAACATACAGCATCTGCTGCATTAACTCATCAGATGCACGTCAAACCTGTCGCCTGCTGGATATTTGGGGCATGTTTACTTAAACTGTCTGTATGTTTGGCCATAATGGAGTGTTGAGTTGCTGATCCTGAACTAGTGAAAGATTTTGAAGGTAGTCGTCACTCTAAAAGAAAGACACATCTTGATTTGTTGTTTCGAACATTTCAAAAAGCCGGAACACTTTTCTAATACCTTAAAAAAAGCAGTTGGTCTTGGTTTAGAGTTATAGTCCCGGAATAGACAGCGAGTGTGACACAATCGACCTGTCAGGTGCAGCTCAGTCTTTGCAGGTTTGTAAGCGACTGTAAATGTCTAATGGACTAAAGTAAACAAATACATAAGGACAACAGACATTTATGAGAGCATCATTAAGCCAGAGAATTGAAAAAGTTTATGGCATAAAAAAGACTCTTGTTTCTTAAATCTAAAATTAGAGTTTTCAGTTTTTTTGACCACTTTGCCCCAGTTTTCCCAACCCACTTTACAGATGAGGACATAATTATTAGCCTCCAAGTATTTCCCAAGTGATGTTAAATAGAGCACAGAATTTTAACACAGCTTTTCCAAACATCCTGGTTTTATTTTGGATGCTTACATTTGCACAGAAGCAAAATGAATCTGGGAAAAATCTAAAACTACCAGCGTCAAAATGATTAGGCCCTGTGATACTAATAGACAGTTATGTTGTAGTGCAATCATTTGTTGTAGTCTCACATCCTTCTCTCCCGAGTACTCCCAGACTATTTTTCTTTGGCGAATCTTTCAAACTTCTCTAGATTTGCTGGTCTTCCTGCATAGACCTTGATCTTCAGTTCACCTCAAAAATTTCACTGGGATTCAAGTCGGGGCTTCATGCAGGCCAGTCAGTAACCTTCATATTGGTCTTTTGGAGGTAGATTTTCTGCCAGGTTCGTTCTGTACTGTGTGGCTCTCTTTGAATTTCTCAATGATTCTTCCCACTTGAGTTTTAGACACTTGGAAACACTGTGGTAACTTCAATTCAATTAAAAATGTTGGAAATTTATAAAACAGTGCACAGATTTATTTCTCTTCTGATAGCAATATTAACCAGTTATGGCAATTCCATTGCAGCTCAAACAAAACAACAGTCTGTCACCAACTGTATGCTTCCTTTCTACAGATATACATTAACCTTCCTCTGGTTCCCCTTTTTTAAAATAAAAAATACAAATAATTTATATTTCAAGTGCTAAGCTTCCCAAAGGTGAGGGTCATTGCTAGATGGAGAAACTACCTGTTTCTCAAACTTTTATCTTGATCACAACTTTTGACTTTCCACAGTTAACCCTTTAAAGCCGGTTGGAGCGGACACGCTCCATTTTGCGTAACTATTTTTAAATCCCGGGAGCACTGCAACCACGTAAGCTAGCGCAATAATTTTTTTTGCATATGAAACCGGAGGAGTTG